AGGTAGAAGAGCTCAAACAGGTGTGAGCTCTGAGTGTGGATTTTTTCTTTTTTTTTTTTTTATGGAAGCAGTTAGTGACAGAGGATGACCTAGGACCATGGTGTTTGTTCTTTTCTTCATTTTTTTGAGTGGTTGAAATGCACTGCGACAGGAAAGGAGTCTTGGTTCTAGCTCTCCTGCTGCAGATTTACTGGGCAATTCTGGATGAGCCGCTGCTGGCCACTTTTCGACTTACAGAATCACAGAATCATTAAGATTGGAAGGGACCTTTAGAGAACATCTAGTCTAACCCCCCTGCACACGCACAGTCACCTAGAGCATGTGACACAGGACTGCATCCAAGTGGGTTTTGAATATTTCCTTTGAGAAGGAGATTCCACCACCTCTCTTGGCAATCTGTTTCTGTCATCCTCTGTCATCCTTCTGTCAAGCAATTTTTCCTTAAGTTCCCGGGGAACTTTTGGTGCTTTAGTTTCTGGCCATTTCCTATTGTTCTGTTGCTGGCGACCACTGAAAAGAGGCTGCGCCATCCTTCTCACACCATCCCTAAAGGTATTTATATACACTGATCAGGTCCCCTTTCAGTCTTCTCTTCTCCAGCCTGAAGAGGCCCAGCTCTCTCAGCTTTTCCTCATAGGTCAGATGTTCCAGGCCCTCCTGGGCTGGGAACATCCTCGTAGCCCTGTGCTGGGCTCTCTCCAGTAGCGTTCTTAATGCAACCCAGGATCCCATTTGCCTTCTTGGCCACGAGGGCGCACTGCTGCCTCACGGTCAACTTGTCGTCCACCATGATACCCAGGTCTTTCTCCGCAGAGCTGCTGTCCAGAAGGTTGGTCCCCAGCCTGTGCTGGTGTCTGGGGTTATTCCTCCCCAGGTGCAGGACCTTGCACTTGGCCTTGTTGAATTGCATGAGGTTTTTCACTGCCCAGTTGTCCAGTCTGTCCAGGTCCCTCTGGATGGCAGCGCAGCCCTCTGGGGTATCAGCTACTCCTCCCAGTTTGGTATCATCAGCAACCTTGCTGAGGGAGCACTCTGTGCCTTCATCCAGGTCATTGATGAATAAATTGAACTGGAGTGGACCAGGGACTGACCCCTGGGGGACACCACTAGCTACAGGCCTCTGACTAGACTCTGCCCCATTGATCAAAACCCTCTGAGCTCTTCCATGCAGCTGGTCCTCAATCCAGCTCACCATTCACTCATCTATCCCATGCTTCCAGAGCTTGCCCAAGAGGACGCTGTGAGGGGCTTGGTTGAGTCCAGTCAGTGGAAGATTACGGCTGTGCTCTCGGGTGTGGGCTTTGGCCCTGAACGGTCCTTGCCGGTAGGTGGTGGTGGTTACTTTAAAGATGTGTATCTGTGTGGGGGTTCTGGTGTTGTTTTTGTTAAGCTTTATAATGACTCTAAAATAGTTTCTTTAGTCATTTCTATCCTTATCCTAGATAAGGATAGCTTCTTATCACATAAACACGTTTATTGGTGCTTAAAACCAAACAGAACAGATGCCCCCTGCTATCCTATAGTGTTTATGTTGGTAAGTGGCAGATGTTTACTGCTGACTAGATTTGATAGGAGTCTTACTTTAATATGAAGGAGTCCTTAAAAGGCCAAGGAAGTGAGAATGAATCATTTTCTTCTAGAATATTTTGTGTCAGCAGCCTTTTCTTCATTCTCTTAGACAAATGTCACTGCTTCCATTAATGTACCCAGTTGGTTCTTGAATTCAACTAGTTTTCTTGCTCCTTTTTCAGAATTAGGAAAAAAATAAAATTATTCATTTTTACATGAGCATGACTGATGAAAATAGTCAGATCAAGCTAAAGGCAGGTAGCTTCATCCATGTAATTCCATATTCAAAATATATCTTTGCTGGTCTCATAGCTGTTAGGAATTGTGAAGTAGGTAAGTTTTTCACCTCTTTCAGTTCGTATGCAAAACTACTATATAGCCCTATGTCAAATACTTACAGTTTAGTTAAATTCAACTGATCAGCTAATTGTCCAAGTAATGTAAACATAAAAAGTCATTGTGTCAGAATAATCTGGCATGATGTCTACTTTTATTAAATGTAAGTTGTATTTTTAATCACATTTTCTTTATCTCCATTATTTTAGTTCATCTTCCTACATGTTCTTCCTACTACATGTCCTACAGTTATATCCTTTAGTTGCTAAGGTCACTTATTATTATAAAAAAAAATACTGTTGAATTAGTTTAAGTCCATCTTTAAGGTAGAAATAAGTTTTTAGATGCAATGAATTGTCTTGTTTGATATTCCTCTACCACAGAAAGGACAAAATGAACTTGGACAGTGCCATAGCCTTCTCCTTGTGCCCTCTAGATAGCATATATAACTGCTGAAAGAGTACCTTTCCTATTCAGACTGGATTGAGTGTATGTTTTCAAGCTGTAAGGCTTGATTAGTTGGGAGTTTTCTATAGGAAGTTCGGACTAATTATGGAATAACACAAATGAGGTGGATTCAACATTTTATATTTTCAAGACTTTAATAAAATCAAATCTCACAGCATAGCATATTCTGTTATAACATATCCTGGTGTAAAATGGCACAGTGTTTCAGTCCTAATCCACACACACATTAGATCAGCATTTTATGCCTTGGCCTGTTTATATGAATTCTAGCTGAAGTATGAATAAACTTTTCCTTTTCTTTGCTCCAGCTAGTACTGTGTATATCTGATGGGGAACTGGAACTCTTTCCTGGAAAAGAAGAAGGAATATGGGAAGAAAGAGATTAAATGAACTTTGCTTCTAATAGCAAATATCCTTAGTTGGCATTGGGTAGCAGAGGCAAAAAAATAAACATAGAGAATGTGTTATTATCAAGATTTTATCCTTGGTGAAAAGCTACAATGTAATCAAAATTGTATTTGCTACGTAGCACTTAAGAGCACGATAACATGAATCAGCTATTGCCCAGCACTGCACAGAATGATCTGTATTTTTCCAGACTACATATATAAAATGTGTGGAAATTATAGTTGTAAATAAGTCGTACATAAGCTCCAGATTTCTGTAGGCAGAAAGGACTGATGCAGAAATAGCTACCTTCAGTCAATCCCTTCACCTGCTTGTTTGTCTTACTGAATTCTAAGTTTCAAGACTTTAGTCTTGAAACAGATGCTGATTTGTTAATACAATACTTCTCTTATTTGAGGGTATTGTTTTGGAAAGTGTCAGTTAAGGGCAGAAGGAAATAAAGCAGTTTGGCAAGAAGTATCAGGAGGCTTGGCTACAGTTCCTATATGTATCTCTGAGACAAATTTCTTAAGAATTTTCTTCAGCAATGCTCTCTTCTTACCTCTTGACATCTTGCACTGCATGTTTCCCCCCCAGCCCCTCTTGAACTTTTCATTCTTTTGCGGTTAGGCTGAACTATGTTTTCTGGAGCAGTGACACACCAGCATCTCTTCTTTTTCTTTCCTTTTTTTTATACTATCCTTTCTAAGATGAGATAGTTCTTGACCTGTGTGCAGAGAAATTTCACATAGCAACTGTTCTTCTGGCTGAGTGTTTGCCTCATGCTTCAACTTTAGCAAAGCAGAATCTTTTTTTTATTATTATTTATTTAACTGATCCCACAAATCTAATGTGAATTGGATTATATTTTACTATTGTTAAATGAATAATCTTTAAAAGATGAAACTGAGAATTGTGTGGCAATAGTTGGGTTTGAGTACCTGAAAAAAGCCAAAGAAGTTTCAAGTTATCTTTATGGTTTCTAATTTATTTACAGGAGTTTTGTTCAGCCAGAATAACCCAAAACAGCAAGGTCTCTGGCCTCATCCCCTCCATGTAATTTAAAAGAAAACAGTATAAGCAAACCAGTTTCCTATGTTAACTCAGTCCCTGTCCTTCCCTTGCCCTGCCCTTTTATTTTACATTTTGGGATGTGACTCAAAATAGGCAGATTTCCATTTGATGAAGATCATAGCTGGTATTCTGGAATCCCTCTTCAGGATTTAATATGTACAAAACAAATTTGTCTTTGAATTCATGTGATTACTTTTTAGGAGAAGTAGGCAGAAGCTATTGAATATAGAGGAAGCTGAAATATTAGCACTCGTCTCTTTCTTGCCTACCTCACCTCATTAATGCATACAGGCATTAATATTGTTCTGTGTGCTTCTGTTTTGTTTTCTTTGGCAGAGGCATTACTTGCATCGTCATTGGAACGTCCTCTGTACTACTGAGCTACAGTTGCTCCAGGGTATGCTGGGGAGAGGTTTGATAGTTTAATCCCAAAGCAATCCCCAAAGTAATCTATGATGCCCATATGCATGGTCTAAGGTACAGGACCATGAATAGAAATGAACAGTCCAAACTGATAGTTTAGCTGCATTCATAAATGCCTTCTCATATTACCACTAGAACAGTTGAAATAAAGCATCAGTATCAATTAAATTCATTTCTACATGATTTTTATGTCAGATTGTATGAACATTTCATAAATAAACTAGTATATTTGTATATGATCTTTTCTGTTGGTATTTCTTCCAGTTGATAAAAGAAGAGATTTAATATTACATGCTACTATGACAAACAGTAACATTTCATTTAGTTGAATTGCTGTCTATTTTAATAAAATCAAAAGCAGATTGGTATTTTAAAGCACTGAAGCACAGAATACTTGAAAAAAGGTAGTAGGTTGTTTAAATTAGAATCTGAGTTCTACTGAAAGATTTCATTCATGCTTATGGCTTATCAGCATTAAAGTAATATACAGATTTTAAAAAACTTTTCTTTAAACTTTTGTGAAAAAGTTCATTTTATTTTGTATCTCAGAGCTGAATTCATTATCTTTTTATAATCTTTATTTTTTTAGTAAACTATTATGTTGGACAATACTTCTACACTGCTGTTTAATTTAAAAGATCAAAGCTATTCTCTGAAGAGTTTTGGTTAACTTTGAATACTGGCTATGTTCGATGCTAATAGGTATATTAAAGTACTGCCAAGATTAATGTGGAGATGACCCCATGCCTTTTTTCAGAATCGCAGGGGGGCAAATTCTGTCAACAGTGAAGATGCATTTGTTAAAAGGCCGAAGCAATGGGGATCCTTTCTGTCGAGCGGTAGAGGAAGTTGTAGAAGGCTGGGATTTGAAGATTAAAAATATTATCGAATCACAACATGATGTCTTGACTGCCAGCACCACTGGAGTTAGCCCAGCACGGGTAATGGGGATTTCTTTTGTTCTTTTTACTACTTAGCTTTACAAAAAGCAAATGTATGTCTTTTGTATTGTTGCCTTATGCTTCTTTTCTTAAAGGATTTTAAATGGATTATTAGTATTTTCCTAATAATTCAGAGCAGTGTTATTTCCTCTACACTGTGGTTTTTAACTTGTTGAAACACTTGGATACTTGAGGATTATACTGTGGATTTCAAAAAGCTGATATTATTTAAGCTAAACTTATTACATCAAAATTGTAAATGATATACTCTTCAGAATGTAATTTGTTCTTGGAATTGTTCTAGATGTAAATACTTATATAGCTGTCTGGTTTGTCACTGCTTTAAAGACAGTAGTATTATAACAAATTTCTGAACAAAACAAAACCTGTGAAAGTGGAATTAGGATTTGAGAATAGGTATTGGTAATTTAGATAGGTTTTAATTGAGAATCAGAATCCAAAAGTAAGAAATACAAAATAAAGTTAAATGTGAAAAAGTCCAATGCATGGTAAAATGGGGGGAAGGTGACAACATAATTAAAAAAAAATCAAAGTTTAGGTTTCTCTTTAGTGTTTCAAGATAGCAAAGAAGCAATGAAACTATTTTAATTAATGGTTTTTCTACCAGGGAAAGAATCAAAATTTTAAATTCTTTAAAAGTCAGGTGTGGAAAGCAGAATGAATGCTTTTTACTTCTGGTTTGTCTACTTTCAGTGTAGTCAGATTTGTATTATGCCATTTTTTATGGTAAAACACTAATGAGTATTCTTTTTACATTATTACGTCATATAAAATCACACTGGTATGTCTTTTGTCTAAGCAACTCTTAAAAACTTGTCTGTACTTTAAATGTGTTTACGCTTTGTGTTACCAAATCACCTGAAGTGCTTCATGGTAAAATAAGATCTGAATAAGATCTTTGTATCTTCCAACTGATCTTCCAATATGCGTTTGCTTTTCTGCGGCAGCTAAAACCAGCCAGACTCTAGTGGCCAGTACAACTGTTTTAAAGGTGTTTCCACTGAATGGTTTTGAACAGCTAGAGCATATATTTCACCCACATTTTCCTGTTCAACCTGAATTTTTACCACAGGTATTTCCCTACTTCCCTTCCACACCTTCCTTCCAAGTTCCTTTCACACACATTTTCAGTTTCCTTTCTCTGCCCCTCTCTGAAAGCATGATCACCGTATCAGTTACATCGTTTTTTCAGTTTCTCCACCTGCTTGTATACCTATAAATTTTTACAATACAGAATTAATTCGTTATCAGTCAGGTAAAACGCTTCTAATAAAATGTATTTATCTAGAGAAATTCACCAAAAATTGCCCTTCCACAGGTAAAGTTCGTAGTCTAATAACTGCAGAAATGTTTACCATTTCCTTGTTGAGATAAAACTTAGCACAAATGGTTCTATCCTGATGTAGTCAGGATAAATGTGGATAAATACCGATTCTCACAAAGAACAGAGTGAAGTTGATAATTTTCTCAAGATATGCACATGAAGTCAGCCTATATTTTAGTCATGTGAACCTGTAGTTCCATAACGAAGTTAATTCTTGAGTCTAAGTGCATTCATTGCTGGACCATCCCATCTGCTGACAGGTGAATGGATTTCACTGTCGTTCTTTGTGAGGAAATTTGAGTATGAAACAGAAGGTAGTAGACATTAAGCTCATCCTTCCTAGTAGGAAGTTCATGCTCACCATGCTTGGCACAGTGTGGATGGAACTGAGTACCACCAGAGATGGTGACTGTCTGGTTGTGACTGGTGTGCTGATGAGCTTGAGAGAGATAATGTTCAATCAAAGGCAGTAGATAGATAAGTGCCAGACATCAATTTTCAGATTTTGATGAAACTGTAATAATATATAGAGATAGGTGGTTGTTAATGATTTTCAAAATATTTTCTCATAAATTTTTAAGAATGAAGTTCAGCTATGTAGAAAATTTGGATCATCAGTATCATTCCATTAAGAAGTTCAAATTTTTCTGGAATAATCTGAGAATAATCTGAGGCAGCTAATGGTCACTACCCTTGAAAAGAGTAATCAACAGTTTTCCTGAAAAAATGTATTGAACCATGAAGTTAAGTCTAAGCAGCAATCTTTTTGTGGCAGGGATTGTCATTTTTTTGTGGTGCCCTGGACGACAGGATTTTTACTTCATGTTTATCATACCCAGCCACTACTGTGAGGTTCCTGGTCATCTTTTGACTGTTGAGAGTGTATGTTTTATTCTAAAGTTTTGGGAGTTTGGTGTATTTTTCTTTTTCTTTTTTTTTTCTTTTTTCCCCTTTGTGTGTAATCAGTGAAGATAATGCCGTGTTTCTTTTTTCTTTTTATTTTTCATTTAGATTAAATTTATCATGACACACGTGACATTTTATAAAAGTGTATAATGTGATGATGCTATGACTGCAATGGTTCAGAATAAATTCTGAGGAAATTAAATGGTACTGAAAGAGGCTAATTCTGTAAAACTATGTAACAACCATTTCTGTAATTGCTATTTCTAGCTATTGATTATAACTTATAGTATCTGACTAACATGTTGCTATGGTTTCTTGAAAGCTACATACACTAATTCATGTAATCAAATAGAGAGAAAAATAGAATTTGATCTTTTCAAGACTATGTTTAAAAGCAGTTAACTTGATTAGATAAATGCAGTTTGTTGCTTGTTTTGTCCTTCTGAACAAGCATAGGCTATTGAATGTTTTTGTGTATGAATAAATAAGATGGCCTGTAGTTTTTAAAATCTACTACTGTATCCTAAGCACTAAATTCCTCTGCAGAACTCCTAGTACTTTTTAAGAAAAATGTATCAAACTTTTGCAATTCTTGCAGTCCCATAGTGGCTATGAAGTTCTACATCTGTATTGCTCACTGTTGCATTGAGCATTTCCAGATGCGGATTATTATTTTCTTTAAGGACTTCTTTATTCTTGTGGAAAATCGTGATGAATTCATTCTGTTCCAGCAACAAAGTTGTTGTGCCAAGTGCCTCTCTTGTCAAATCTTGGTGGAAATCTCACTTTTAACCAGTTCTTTTTGGAGATTCATTTAGTCAGGCGAGTTGGACTTCACCGTAAAGTGCTGTGTGCCCCTCAGCACTCAAATTTGTTGTGAGGAAATAATGCATTAGTTTCTGCAGCATGGTCTCATCACGGATTTGAAGATTTATCTGTGTGATTTGCTCTTCAGTGTGTGCCTCCAGCTGGCAATCATCCAAACAACAATTTCTTGAGATGAGGAAGAAACTTCCCTATGAGCAAATTACTCCATAAATGTTTATTGGGAAAGGGGAGGAGGGGACTCTTGCACTTTCTGTTGGCATGGGTTACTTCTGGAGGTGAGCTGTTAGTCTGGTTTACTGACTTTTCGTGTTGTGTGTTTTTTTCCTAACTATTTTTTTTCAGCCAAAATTACATTCCATAAACCATGGCACTGTGTATTGTGGCAGAGATACTGTAAAGGTCTTACTAGTTCTTCTGGATGAAGAAGCGGCCAATCTTCCTACCCCAAATAAAGCAGAACTATTATACAATGATGAAAATTTAAGTCTGTTTGGAATTACTTCTGTTTTGACGCTATTCAGGTGAGTAGTAGAATTTTTTTCTTTTTTTTTCCTTTTTGGAAAGGATCTCAAACTGCATGACTGACAAACCATTTATGAGAGAGCGGAAGGAGAGGTAGAAGAATGAGAAGAGAGGAGAACTCTTCCTGGAACCTGTTGAGAATTGAAGCAACTCAAGTTGCAACCAGGCACGCATCTTCTCTTAGGTATCCTCTGCACTGCAACAGTTGGTTCCCCAATAATACTTTTTTCAGAGTAACTACAGTTTTCCTCAGGGCCTGCTCGAACCTACTGTTGGATCTCTGCTGTTCATTGTGCCAATTAGTGCTGATTGGAACTTGCTCTGAACAGAGAAGATGTCTTTTGAGCTCTGTGAACACACCTAGTTGGGTTCCATAACATAAACCAAAAGTTGCAACCACAGGGCTGGAAAGGAGCAGAAGAAGTGGGAGCAGTAATGGAAAATATTGCCACAGAATCTCTGAAAACACTGCCCCAGCAGCTTGGTTGAAAAGATCTGGATTAATTTAGAATAATGTAGTGTTTGAAAGGATTCAAGAGCCACCTGAGTTTGTGGGAGTTTTTTTTCTGAATTAAGCACAACTATTCTTTAGAGCTAGAGCTCTTGAGTTGTCTCCCTAAGCAGCTCTTTTTATTTTGAAATGGATTTAAAATGTTTTATCATTGAATAAGACTGCCCACTGAGTTTTTTAGTATCTTCTCCTTTAGATGCAAGGAGGTATAGATGCCTGGAATTTTATATGAAATAAATTCCTGTGTTTTTGTTAATATTTCTTAGTGGTCAATTTGATTTTAGTATTTATTTTCTAGTGTATCATATTTTTGTTATTATTTGTGTGATTGCACTTAAAAACAAATTTAGAAGAAATTTATTCAAGGTTTTGAATTTATGATCTGAAATGATTTTTTAGGAGAAATTAAAAAAACTTTCAAAATCTCAGATGAAATAAGAAAACTTGCAAACTTAGTTCCTTTTTAAAATTTTTGTCAAATATTTTAATGTTCTGCATTTCTATAGCAGATTTGCTCTAAGGCTTCTGTTGCTTTACAAGTGCAGAATGTCTTAATACTATAGAGAATAGTATTTGAGGTGTCACTTTGTTTTTCTGAAATACAGGCACCTCTGAGATACAGTGATTTTTTATTAATGCTCATCTCAAATACTTGATTTACAATGCTTGCCATCTTCTGACAACCTATACTGTTAATAACAAATCTGGAAAAGTTTACCAGATAAAGGGCAGTACATTTGGCAGTAAGTAAGTAATTTGGCAATTTTTTTTTGCTAATTTAAGGTTCTGTGTATGAGAGGGTTGATCGCATCACACTGTAGTTATTGTTTTATGGTTTTTGATCACATGGTAGTTATTTTACTGTTTTGTGGACTTTCACAATACTATCTGCTATCTCTAGAGAGCTCATTACTGAAGAATCTCCTGAAATGTTTAGCTTGTGGCCATTTTTGTCTGGTATCTAGTAATTTGGAGAGCATCATTGTTACTTTTCAGATGAAGACTAAGGTTAAATTAGAACATCACTTCTTCTAAAACGTTGCAGTTCAGATAAATTTTACTTGTTTTCAAGTCTCGTTTGTCTTACTAAACTTTTAGATTAATTGGGTAAATCAAGTGTTTGAAAAATGGGATGCAGAGGATTCTGTTATTATGGGTTTCAAAAAGGACTCACGAGTGAAAAAAACAGAAAGGAATTATGAACAAGAGAAGTTGCATATTTTCTCGATTTAAACGGCAAAAGATTTGTAAGGTGCAATAGAATGTTTGCACCACAGCAAAATAGAAATAAATAAAATAAAAAACTTTTTTCCTGAGGGACCTACAAAATTCCTTTTGAAATGAAGCAACTGTGTTCATATGCACACTGGCCTACTGTGCCGATAAACTCGGAAGTTGTTTACAGAAACACAGATTAGGTCTTTTTATTTCAAGAGCAAAAAAGCCCTTTTATATGCATCAGACTTTTTCATCAACGTATTCAACTATTCACATACTGAAATATAGGAGAGTAGAAGCATTCAGTTGATTGAATGAATACTTCTATTGAAAAGTATGTAAATAAGAGGAAAATTATTCTGGATGTCAACCAGATGCTATTCAAGGGGGTGGAGGTAGAATGGTGCCTTGGTATCTCACCACCAGCCTTGCAAAGAAGAACACTGTGGTTGCACAACTACAATATTGTAAACATAAACAGTAAAATGATGCCAGTAATTGAAACTGTAAGTCCGGTTTCATTACACTGTCCTCAGTTGTCAAAAGACATGTGGTTACTTAGGAGGGGAGGAAAAGTAAGGATGGAGGGAGAAGATGCTTGGCTTCCTTTCCTCCCTGTTTCTTAGGAACTTGATATGGCACTTATTTTCCTTAACCAATTTCATTTATGTTAATTGCTTCTTACTTCTTTTTAATATAGATCTCCAGTACAATCTAGGGGATTATCTCCAAAACCTCTTAGACAGCGTGTTCAGAAATTGCTGGATGAAAAAAAAAATAAGGTACTGCATGGAATTTATGTGTCTTTTTGGGTATACTGAAATAATACTAAAATTCTCAAATGCTTCCCTAAAAGCTATTCCATAGCTCATACATAGTTGTGATTAACCATGTGATTACTGTTTGACTTGCACTGATGTAATATGAATGAAAGTATCTACTGCACCAGGAAAGAAGGTTTTAAGCTTACTCAAAAGTATTAACTAATGAACGTATCTTAATGGAGCCACCTACTTAATCGATAACAATTTGTGCATTTCAGAACTATAAAAATAAAACTGAAATTACACGAAAGCAAACAAACAGGCAAAACTCCAAACCCTGAATACAGACCTCTAATTTCAGCTCAGATAATATTGGCATTCTTAAGTACAGTAATGATTTTAATGTATTTTTTCAGATGTTTTTTATTTGTAATTCTGCTAAGACATATCCATAACATTTCGAAGTGAACAGGAAAATAAACCTTGCTAGTGTAGACCCTTGTTACTTAGTAGGCGAAAGAGCAGCAGCCTGTTGGCTGGAACTCTAAGTGACACTACTTAAAAGAATAGAGTGTAGAAAGACAGGCTGTATCTTCCTCAGCATTTCAACAAGGAGCTCCGTAAGAGTGGTTATTTACTAGTTCTTGCAAACTTTGTTCTGATTTGTGCTATCATTATTTTCAGAATATGTTCTTATATATATATTCCAGTTCAAATAAAGTTGTGATGGCTATTATGAGTTATGGTAAACACTGGAGCAAAATTCGGCTTTAAACGACTAGGCAAATAATGAAAAGATGAGAGCTGACTTCATGACTTCGATTGCAGTAATTTTGCTATAATCAGCATATTGTAGCTATATTCATCAAAGAACACGAATGTGAAATACTGTTTGGATAATACAGTGAAATAAATAGCCATTCATGAATCCAATTACAGAGCTTCTATGTGGATAAGAAAACTATGTTAATATCAGAGTATAATGAATTTAAGTCTGTTATGTTTGAAACCTTTTCTGCAAACTTACAAAGGTTGTTAGGAACTAGGTGTCTAGCTATCAAAAAATATCAACTATTTCTCTATTTATGGTAGTTCTTGTCGAAGGTTTGAATAATTTAATGAGTTAATTATTCAGTAGCCTTCAGGAGCATGATCTGTTGAATTGCCACACCAAGATACGTGGTGGCACTTTCCTGTGCTATTTTTGTATGGCTGAACTCTGATAAGGGTACTGTGACTCTCATGTGCCTTATTAACACAGTAAAGAGTCTGTCTTCTGTGAGACTCTCCTCCAAGCTTTGTTTCACCAAGATTGTAAAAAGCAGAATAGAATTATACTGAAATAGAATGAAAAATCTAGTGTTTTTTTTAGAAAATAATTTGGGGGTCTTTCAAACAACTATTAAACTGATTCAGATGCTGATCTGGTGCTCAATATAATGACATTTTATGAAAACCAAAATTCAGAACAAACAACCATCAGGTCCTGTTGGCCCTTCTAAACTTTCCCTGACATTTCAGCACATAAAGGGTGTCTGAAGTGTTATCCTTTGTAGATTAAATTTGTGATGGCTGACTCTTCTCTTATTTTAACGAAGGGGATGGTAAGTTGCATGTGACTGGTATGTTAAACTGTGAAAGACCTCCTGGAGCTACATCAACTTTGTCCATTTGATCCTGTTTCTTATAGTTGTTAGACATCTGCAGAACACCTCATTCTCCTTTAAAAGCTCTTTCAATACCTTTAAATTAACTGTCACTTCCCTCTTCCCCTCACCCCCCAAAAAACAATTTACATGCTACATGTATTGGGACGGATGCTCATTATCATGACTAATCTGGGTTTCTTTCTGTATGAATCCATATATTTCCTATCTTAGATTATAATGTCTCTTGGCAGAAGTCATTTTTTTTCTGACTTTAATGTGCAGCACCTAGCACTGTAAATTCCTTGCCTGTGACAATAGATTGCAAGTGCTATAGTAATTATTATCCCTTTCTTAGACACAGCATCAGTCTTCCTTGTTATTTCAGACAACTGCCTTGAAATGTGTTAAGGTTTCTTATAAAATTCACTCTAATAAGTTTTTTTTTTTTTTAATGTGTGATATACGGTGTTTAGCAATTCTTAGTATCATTGGCTGGGAAGAGATACTATACATAAATTTCAAATAAGAGTAATGATTTCATGTTTTTTCTCAACTTTAGCAATTTGTCTGAGAAGTTTCTTGTAATGTAGGTGATGCAAGTTCCATAAAATAGTCCTAAGGATCTTTTGATGCTGCTGCTTGATGTGGTTACATGACAGTCTGTAATAAAAAGCCACGATCTCTCCTTAGAACATGTCCTACAAAAGTCCCTTTTCTTCCGTGATATTTGGTAAGGTGTGAGGGAATACAGTAGTAATGATTAGTCTGGTTTCTTGCAGGGTACCATCAAGAAGTATGTATTGATACAAAAATTTAGGAAAATCTGATAAAAGGAGAATGGGACACTTCACAAAACTTCACAAAAAATAATTATGCTTCCACCTTCCATGACAGGAGCCACTGTCTTGTATCTAGAGTTATGTGGAAGACTTGCAGGTTGATAATATTTAAACCTAGAGAACAATATCATGCCTATGTGCTTACTATCTAATTTAAAAATATGGAGAGTGGACAAAGTAAACAGGTAACTATGAATTGGAATTTATGTTAAAAAATAAAATAAATCTGTGGGTATTTCCATTGTGCCAAAACAAACTTCAGATTAATGAGCCAGTAAAGTATGAGTGAAAGCACGATGAATAATGCAGTACCTCCTGGAAAATGTCAGCCCTATAGTTGCTTTGAAATCTGGGGCAAGGGTGAAATACACTGAAAGAAAAATTTCATCTTTCATTGCTCATTAAATATTGGAAGAGATATGCAGAAAGACCACCCAACTATAAAGGCATTTGTTAGGAGGCAAAGCTATCACTCTTTATCCCTTGAAGAGGAAGAAGTTTGGGGAAGTACGTGTTCCACCTTTTCATCCCCTCCAGCAAAAGCAGGTAAGAGTAATAGAGAGATACTCAATTTCATCTCATCTTCCTTTGAGAGAAAAATTAGAAAAGGATCATGTTTCAGTTTGCTATATATAGTTACAATTACAGAAAAGCTTTTTCTGTTTCTGGTGAACAGTGTTTTGTGGAAGGGATCCTTGATTTGGAATGGTCTACAGAACATCTATTAAGTTAAACCTCTTTGTTGTCAGTTGTGCTTTTTGCTCCTTTCTAATTTTTTAAAAGTTAGAAAGCTTAATTGGGCAGGAGAGGTATTTTTTATCTAAAAAGATTTGATCCAGTCTTACATGTGATTCTTTGAATCATGTTTCTGTTAATTTGAAATGGGTAGGCACCCTGTTATTTGAGTTATTTTTGATTTCAATTGAGTGTGTGTAAATATTTGTTTTTTGGTGTGAGAGATAAATGGATGGAGGGCTGTTGCAATCCACTGCCTTGATTAGGTGCCAGAGCAGCTTAAGACAACAAAGAGGTGAAATAGTAAAGATCATCACATCTCCCTCCTCTTCGGATGTTGCACCAGAAAAGATTAATTGGAGTTGTAGGTGAAATACTATAACTGTAAATGGAGTTCAGTGAGAATATTTAGGAGTAGAGAAGGAAGAAACCAAAGCTGTTAGACTGTGAGTGTGCAACATATGAGACAGTCATTTTCCTTTTTAATCTAGGGTTGTTTTAGCCTTTTGATGCGTTGCAATGTGATATTATTTTTGAACTTGTGCTGCATTGTTGACATATTTGTCCCACAACAGCTATAAGGACTTTTCAGTAGTTTGGCATATATTTTTTCTTAGTATAACAGGAGACAACCTTTTCTATATGAGGTATTATTTTCCTCCAGTTGGGAGCATAACTGTAGTTTTGCTTTTTAAAGAATTTGTGGCTAAAGAGCTCTACCAAATCTTGGCAAGTTTGAACTTCATTGTAATTTTAGTGTGCATGGAAATTCTTCCAAGAAAAAAGGTCCACAAAGCAGAAAATTCCAGTCTGCCTTTCTCATGTGACTTGATCATGCCTATATGAAATGACTTAATATCTAGCTTCGTGCATTGCTGTTATTCTTCATTGCTTAGCTCTCAAAATGTTGTTGCTCGAGAGAATTGTTTTGCCTATTTGTGATTCCAGTACAAATAAACTGTGAGTTGGAAAGCTATCAACAGGAAGTTATCAAGATTTTTCTGTATGACTGCTGTGCTTGTGAAGAGAAACTTAACAGTAATAGAGAAAAACAATGTTCTTCAGGTAGTAGTCTCATCTACTATAGAAAAATATGTTTATTGTGAACTGGAGTAGAATCATGAAGAACACAAAACTGATTACTAGTTTATGGAGCTTGCTAATAAATTGCTAGCTGGATGAGAAATGGGAACGGGAGAAAAAGTTGTTCAGCACAAAATCGGAAGAAACATTATGATTTCTTAAAAAGAACAGTTAAATTGATAGACCATACTTGTGTGGAAAATGTCGGCTTTGGTTCTATGAGACATCTACTCTGCTTTTCTAGGATCTCTAGCTGTGAATGTTGAGTACTAGCAAAATCCAACAGTGAGGTGATTTGAGGTTGAGTATTCTTGAAACAGTAGTAAGTTAATTTAGGATATGGAGGGGCTGGTACAATGTCACGCTACAAATTTTGATAGATTTCATACAGTAAAAGCTTACTATTACCTGAACTATTAGCCAAAACGTTTTGTGTTTGTATAACGTGATACTTTTGGTTTGGCAATGACTTGCAATGGCAGGACTGCTTACTGTTTGTTTCATTTCCCTTTATGCTCTCTTTCCTTTTTTTTTCAATCTTTCCTTTCCTTTTTTTTTTTTTTTTTTCAAAAGTACAAGGGTAAGGGTGGAGAAGAAGTTTTCTCTTTCTTTTTGTCTTTCTTTTCCTCTTCCAAATAGTACTCTAATTATTTGGCTAGAAAATAAAAACATATGTTTGTTGTTACTAATGTAGGTTTTCAAATTCTATTATGCCATTCCAGTGTATAAAAACCCAGTCTGAACATTCTTACTGACTAAATGTTGGCAGTACTGTCTGTATGCAGATGCTGGAAGGAGATCTGGAATAGATTATCAAGTAACTTTGAGAAATAAATAGAGCATGCACCATTAATGTTTCATACAAATGTGAATGTTTTATATTCACATTTCAAACTGGAACTTTTAAGTTTAAAGAAAATCAAGGTGGGAGAATGTGCTACTTAATTTACTCATTAGGTCAACTAATTGACCTACATGCACTGAAACACAGGATGTCTTTTATTCTATTGTACTTTCTCCCAGCTGGAGAGTGGTAACAGTGGATCTCTTTGTCTGCAATGCAGGAGAAACTCTTTCTTTACATAGGAATAACAGCAATGACCCCCTCTTGTGAGGGGAGGTGGCAGTAAGCCTGACTTTGTTTTACACCATTCATATACAACTTTTTGATTAGCAAGTTGAGTTCCTTGCATCTTTTCCCTTTCCCAGAGCTGCGGGTCATTGGGATGTTGGTGCTGAGCCTCTCAAATCAGTGGAGTTCAGGGAATTGATGTTTAAGAGCTATTACAAGTTGTTGACAGACATCATTATAGGCGCTTCAGTCACATTAAGCTGTTCTCTTTTTTTTCTTTAAAACAATACAGAGAGACTTTACTTTTTAATTCAGCACTGGGCTTGTGTTCTTTCTTTGCCTCCAGGCTATTCAGATTGTCTTATTGTTAACTTACTCAATGTAATAGTCTTTCTTACAAATACATGCCAAGAGCAGCTGGGAAGTTAGACTGCTCCAACAAATTTGCATCGTCTTGCACCCTGCGTTCTGGTATGCCCTTTAGATTAGTAGAGCATCAGTTGAAACAGCTATATTAACAGCTATAGCTTCTCATGTTGTTCGTAAATGACTAAATGGTATGTGATTCAATGGAGAGTTAAGTTTTGAGTCATATTTCAAGGTTCAGTAAAGTGGAACCTAAGACAGATGTGTTTGTTGTGCTGCAAGTTTTCAGTGTTTGAGTTTGACTTTTGTGCTCTGACTCCACATACATGTGATGGTGAAAAGAAATCTTGATATCCCAAAACACAACTGAATACTTTTGTTGGTTATAGAATGGTAACAAACAGGCTTACTTCCCCAGGTTTGATATTCTTTCTTTATTGTATTTTCATCAATTCAGCACAAATTATAGTTTATTTGCCTTATAAAATATGAAGAACATGTGATAGACCTATGTGCAAGTTGTTGTGTAGTGTTAGCATGTGACACTTGCTGAAGCATAGTTTAAGAATGGAGTGAATTTTAAAGGATCAAGATAAAGAATTGAAGGAACACAGAAAATATTGGAAAATATTTTCATTTAGTATTGCTGTGACCATAAGCCAAAGAAATTAAAGTCCCTCGTATCCTGCATATTGTGATGTTGCACCTAGGATGTTGATGAAGTTTATTGAAACTAGATTCGAGTTGCACTCCATTACTTTTATGATTCTGAGTATAGTGTATTTACCCCTCAAAACTTTTTTTTCTGAAAAGAATATAAACACAGTTAATGACTCGATCTAGATATAAATTTGCAGCACGCAAATTTATAAATGAATATCTCTCCCTATATAGTCTTACTCTATGATAAAGTTATTGATGCATGGGGGATTAATCCTTGGAGAACAACAACATAGTTAAAAGGAATGTTGACCAGATCTCGCTATGGATTCTGTCCTTCTTAGACTGCTACCCTACAGAGGAAAAATAGTTTGACAGTTTGGCAGTTGGGAAAATTAGGCCTTTTTAATTCTTGGAGGATATACTGAGCTTTAAGTAAGACTATTTTGCACAGGCATTTTAAGTCAGAGAAATTTTTTATTATTATTATTTTTATCTCCTCTAAAAAAAAATGTAGTCTTGTTCATTGGCCAACTGCAGTGATGTGCACAGAGATGCAGGCTGCATCTTAATGATGAAGTGCTAGAATCTGTTGTCTTCTTTGTGTGAAAGCGGAACCTGATGAAAGTGGCATAAACCCCGAGTGAAGCTGAAACGTGAAGACCATTGTGAAAGCAGGCTTTGGGGAATGTGTTGTGTTCTGTTGTTATGTCTAAATCTGAGAATTTACTTGGATCAAAAAACAAAACAAAACAAAAAATAAAACCATTTTAAGGGTTAAACCTGAACTATGAGATTTAAACATATCTGTGTTAAGAAGAAAAGTAGATATACTAGAAAATTTTAATGAAACATGGTAGTAATTCTCTTATTCCACAAGTCTAGGCCCTTTGTCTATTTAAAAAGGAGTGTTTTCCTAATAACAATATTTCTTACTTTTTTTCCCTAATATTAGCACTGTGGCACCAGTTCAGCTCAAACTTACTTGAAATCACTTGTTACATTTAATAGAGTTATTAGCTAGAAATTCTAATTTCTGTGTTCTGTTCTACACTATACCTCTCATCCTCTTTTGTATGTTTTAGTAGACTTTCAAATGCAATGGAGGGCAGAATTTATTTCACATAATCTGCTATATTTATGATAAATTGGCAAGAAAGGGCAAAGCTTGACTTTCAAATTCTAAGCTGATGTAATAGTTGGAGAAACATTGACTTAAGTATAGAATGCAGAAATTTGACCTGGAACCTGTGATTCCAGGAACTATGGATATAAAGGCTATATTATAGCTTCTACTTTTTTTTTTTTAGCTGATCCACACATTTTGTTTAACCTGTGATATGGGACTGGGCTTCTCGTTTCAGGGGCGAGTAAGTGTACGTGAGCATGCAGAACTATAGATAGTAGAGTTCTCCAATACTTCAGGTTTCTAGTTAGTTAAGTTATATGGTTATGTTTTGAAAAATGTGAAGAGTAGAGCTTGTAGATGTGAAATCCAAAGTTTACCGGAGAGAGCTGAAATAGCATTTTGTATTTCAGTTTAGCATTGTAAAAATATGGTAACTGCAGTAGCTGAGCTGCTCATAATGATAGTCTGTCAAAAGAGGAAGATAACTTAGAATATCTTAGGTGGATAAAACTTTAAAAAATTATATGCAACTTTCTACAAGAGATGAAAAAAGATTTTTTCTGGGATTCTTCTGTAAATATTTCTAGAAAGGCTTTATTTTTAGTAAATGTGTGAACAATTTATTTGAATATTGATATGAGAGTTTTTATTTTTCTTGTATTCTAGGTCATTTATAAACATGAGACAGAAGGCTTATAAGAAAAATATATTTTAAAATAACTTTATTTCACTAATCTTTCAGGCATTCTTTTTCTAAAATTCTTTTAAATGGTTAAAGCTAATACCAATCACCACTTGCAGATGAAGCAACCGTCAATCAAGTCCCAGTTTGCATGTACATATAAAGATGCATCGAGTGAAAGGAAGGGTCAGCGCTTCCTCAAAAGTAGCATATACCTGGCACCAAAGCAACTTTTAAAAGATGAATCTCTCATAGGTAAGCCGAACTAGGATTAAGTAAGTGAATGTCATAGCCAATATTTCAGATGTTATCAAAATAAACTGTAGTAAAACTCAAATATAAATGTTTTTCAAGAAAAAGACATTTTTCATTGTTTTGTATATCCTATCAGTCAAATGTTTTTATAATTTTAATCCTACTATGTTGAAAATATAATTCAATTTGAAAGGTGTAATGATGTGATCATAAGGTTAAAAAATTTACATTTGTGAAAGTATTTCTTATTCAACAAAAGACATTTTTTGTCATTGAAAAACGTCATTTGTTTTACCTATGCACTGAGTTGTGTTGTATATATAACTCTGAAACAACTTAAGCAACTTGCGCAGCATCTTACAGTTAAAAATGTACTTCTGCAAGGTATTTGACATTTTACATTTCTGAGCAATGTCACTTTAAGATAACAGTGCACAGATTAACGAATATCAAATGTAGTTGCAAAAAAAAGAGTAGTTTTGCTTTATTACAAAGCACTAGTTGTGATAAAAGTCATACGACAGTCTCGTTATAGAAAAAGGATGAGCAATCCCACGTAACTTTTTATTTCTTCCCATATGTTTTTGATATATTTACATGACAGAGGGTATGAATTTGCGTCTTGACATACCAGCGCTTGGAACTATTTCTGAAAATGTTCACCGGAATAGAAGTGAAACAGAAATGGGCAAATTGAGTTGTCAGTCAAGAAGCAAAAACTCCAAGAATGAGCAGATGGATTTGAATACTGATGGAGGAAGCTGTGATAAGGAAAGTGAGCTCTCTTTGCCAAAAAATGCTAAAAGACCTAAAGTTTCAAGCAATCCACAAAAATTTGACAACAAAGTTGGTGGGGCAGGAAAACGCAGCAAAACTGCAATCAAGAATAAATTGATTCCTGGTCAGGCAAAATTAACTCATTTTTTTCGACTATAAGTCTTGTTTTTGTTTTTATTTTCAGAATATATATATATGTATATAATGGTATTTTGACTTTTTCAGAAGTTATAGTTCTGCAAGAAAAAGCTGAAATTCAGAAATTGCTTCCTTTTATACATACAAATAAGTGAAAATCGCTTGTGTGTAATTAGACAAATATTTACAAATCTGGATTATGCAGGTGTCTTTTATTTTTAATAACAATACATAATTAGTAATTATAGCTAAGCTATTTTTGACAGTGAATCATGTTTCCCTCTACATTGCAATGTGAAAGTATTTGTAGTTGCATGTTTGTAGCAAAACATGGTAACTTCAAGTTGCATTAAATTCAAAATGAAATGTTTGATCTTCTTCAAAGAAGGTAGTGCAGACCAGGACTTTTCAGATTTGCCAACATGGTCGATAGACTCTTCCCAACATACACCTGAGCACTGAATGAAAAAAAAAAAAAAAAAAAAGAAAGTTTAAATTTTGCCTCTGGGAATACTGTTAATTAAAAAAAACACTAAATATAAATTGAAAATACAGCACTTCACCAGCCCTAACAAATCCTAATTATGACATGTAGTTTCTAAAATAACTTTTATCAAATGGCTGTATAGATACTGCATTACACTTTACAAGAATGAGACATTTGTGTATAAGAAGGAAAGTATACTTACCATCAAAATCTCTTCTTCCTATAGGGAGTTTAGCTGAATTTTCTTCACCCCTGGTGTCTCTTCTTTCTTGTATTGATTCAATATTCTGAATTTCCTTGTCAGTTGGAAAAGCCATGGCACCTTTCAGTGCAAGATAAGGTAGCCGCTTTGAACCTAAGTTGATTACCATACCCTGGTTTAGGAAGTCGTGTTTGGAACCCATGTCCTGTTTTAAAAGAAGAGTAGCAATTTGTCTTTAAAAATTTTAATTAGTTATGTTGACCTTCTAAAATTATCAACAGAAGTATTGGGAATTAACATAATCATTTAAAAGTAAGCAATGCTCTGCATTACATCTTTGTCTAAAATGATTTTAAGTACTTGTTAGTATAGTATTTATCTCTTATCTGGTAAATTTGAACACCTGTTGTTGCATATAGTGATGCTCAGGATCAAATATAGGCCTTCTATTCCCACACAAGTTTTGACTGCAAGTTCTGATTAAAATCAGATTTCTTTTATTCAAGTGTCTAAGTTACTTATTAAAAAGAAAGAAAATGGGATCAGATACCTGTAGCTGAAAATTTCCTCCATGAATATAATATGCTGAACTGAATTTTTAAGTTGCTCACTGGGTTATTACTTTCATTTATTGCACTTTTCTTCTAAAGGACTATAACGAAAACTTCCATTTTACAATTAGGCAAAACATGTAAAACTGAAAACTCACAAAGAACGTTGGGTTTCTGTTTTCCCCTTCATCCAAAAAGCTACTGTCTTCAGTCTTATAATTCTTCAGCAATGGTGGAGCTCCTCTGTTTTCTGTTCTATCTCCATTTCGAAGAGTTCTTCCCAGACTGAATGTGTTCAGCAACATATCTTCATCTTCTACCTTTTGCAGAGATTTTGACACTGAGATTAGAAAACCTTGAGAAAACAGAGAAAGAGAGAGTATTAACATGTGTGATGAAACACACATTCCTGGTCGCTTAATGTTTGCACAGCAGGAAAGCAACTTTCAAATTTTGAGGGCTTCAGCTGCAGCTTAAAGTGCTGTAGAGCTTGTGCCCGCTTTATATATTTTACAGAGTGAATGGAAACTACTTCAATTGCTGATGAGTTCACTCTTTTTAAATGACTCATATTGAAGAGGGTAACCTTTTGTATAATCCTTCTAATCCCAGATAGTGCTTAGAATCACTTAAACATTTCTTTAGCATGGATAATTTGTTTCTTTGTATGTTTTTAGAACAGTACAGATTAGTAGTTCCTTTTGATGGATCAGTATACCAAAGTTCATAGGAAATAGTACACATAATGCGCATTTGTGTTCTTCATAAAGCTTCATTTCTGTTTAAGGCAACTTGAGGAAAAGAACTCATTTACCTAAGTAAAGGCTATGTATTTAGGTGCATTTACCTAAGCAAGACTGTCATAGAAATGGGAATCCAAATTTATTAAAGTTCTTAAGCAAAATGGATGTACTGAGGAGGTGAAAATCTTAAAACATAACAATAGTTTGGAATACTACTGTATTAGAGCTGAAGTTGTTAGTTTGTATTTCTCTGTCCATTAAGTCAGTTACCTTATGGAAAGAGCCCATCTGTGGAAATCCTTATTCACACCAAAATATTTATATTTGTCAGCATTTTCTTTCTGAAAATTGAATGTTACCCAGCAACAAATATGACATAGATATATTTGCTAAGACTGTACAAAGAAAATGAAACTTCAGCTTTTCATTAGAAAAGGCTCTGAAGTCTTACTATCCTATGGAAGGAAATGTAGAGATTCTGTATAACATACTTTTTCACTTCACCTGGAAAACAAATAGGGCCAGTTCAAATCTAGCTAATCTCTTAATATCAGTGATGCAAGTCACCTTATTCAGTGATTTCATGTTAACTTCAACCTTTAGGATTAATGCACAGAATCGCATCCAAACATCCTGATAGCTAGGGCAAGCCTCTCGGAAATCGATCAAGAAACTGACCTAGCAGATATCTCCCTTGCCTCCCTACCTCTCTTTCTTTTTTGAATTTCCTGCCTTTTCTCTGTTTTCATAAACTTGGAACATTTTTGTTTGTTTGTTCATAGTAATGTTTTCTTTGCACCAGTTCTCTTTTTTTGTGTTGTCTTCTCAACGTCTTCATTGACACCTTCTGCTGATATGTTATGAAGGAGAAAACTGGACTAGTATTTAATAGTCTAGACATCAGAAGTAGTCTCAGACAGCAAGTATGCATTTTGTCTTTGTCCGTTGCAATCCTGAAAAATCAAAACTCTGGTTTAAGTGTTTGAGTGCCAGAGCAGCTATTTAGTTTCAGGCATGCTTCAAAACTACAGATGGTACTTCTTGGTCTGAATTATGTAGTCATATTGGTTAATGCCTAAAAGCACAATCTTCATAGAGTTTTTTTCTACTCTTGCAAGTGCAAATAGAGGACTATCTAAGTGGTATAAAATAGAAAAACCTTTGAGGAAGGGAAATTGAAGGAATTAAGCAATACTGCATTTTAAGCAAATAAACAAAGAGTAGTCAACTTATAATTCACTGAATATCTGTGCTCTGGAGACTGGCTAGCATCTAGCTTGGCACATTTCTGCAAGGTTCTCTGCATATTTCTCTGTCCACAGAGGTAGCAGAATATTTGGCTCACAAATGACTGCAAGGCATTCTGTGCAGGACTGTTCAGGGACAGAAAAACACTGTATTCTTAGTACGTTACCTAAAAAAATAATGTTGAGGCTTGATCAGCATTTTGCTCTCTGTTGACTTAATTTATCCCAAGGTATCTGTATTCTTATTTGATTCTGTATTATAGTTGATAAAGGAAGCAGCATTTTCCTAGACAGACTGACAGACTTACTGGAACTCTTTTGTGTATGTTTGGATTTTCAATCACATTTTATTTTTGATGCAATTTGGTCTGGGTATGTGACGCAAGTCCAGAAAGTGTCATAATCGTTTCCTTGGCATTTTAGGAGTAAAGGGAAAAAAGGCAAAACTCAAGCCCCAAGCAGATATACATTAAAAGGTTAGACTGGTGTTACCCAATATTTGCGTTCATCGGCAGCAGACCTTTTTGTCTGTATGTTTGTGTATGACTTAGGAGCTGAGGAACATGCTATCCACCCAGTAATTCCCTCTGTGAGAAGATCTACTTGTTTGGAGTCAATACCCACATGTTTGCAGCACATATCACAAACATATGATTTTGCTTACAAATTCTTCTGATTCATTTTGCATATTTAAGAATAGTTAAAAATAGGGATGACTGACCTGGATCAACTGAGAAGTCCATGTACGGTGTCTGTGTTGTCATATACCATAACTAATACTCATGGAAGAATAAAAGAACAGGGCAGACGTGATACTCTCTCTAGTATCTTCTGGTGCTTCAGTCATGACTGTTGATTGTCGTTATTTTTGAAGATCTGAATTGGCTCTAGCAAAAACTAGTAGAAAACCTCCTGATGAAAGTGCTAAGAAATCAGTAGCTGTAAAGACATTAGTGCTCTAAAGTCACATAGAGCAATGATCTGCTTATTGCAGATGCTGGAGAGGATGTATTCAGATTTTTGGCTTGTTCAGAGCAGCAGATAATATTTGTTCTCTTGCATATTTACAATGTATTGTACAAGTCTCTCTGCAATGTCTCTGCGAATCCTAATAGTCTGATAAGATGCTTACATATTTTTTAATTTTCCTCTTGAAAGTTTTGAGTTTTAGTTAAAATAGTCAAAAAAAAATCTCCAGCATATATGGTAGTCACATTACTATTAATATACTAGCATATACATTTTTGCATTGTTTATAAAATTGGCTTTTTCTATAATAAATAATAATGCCAATTACGGAGCAATCAGTTATTTCAAGAAACTTCTTGCTTCTACATGGACCCTTGTTGAACTATTAACATCTGAAATCTGATGCGCTATGTATAGCTAAATAAAATCTACATGATGATATTTAATATGCCTGGAATGTCTTCAGCTCATTTTGAATTCTTCTAGAAATGGGTTGCTGAACAGTTATAGCAGCTTCACTTATCTTGGTTACTGCTGTAATTTTCATGCCTGACCTTTGCTTAGTGTTGGCTGTTGAGCAATAATTAAATAGGTATATCTCTATATACAAACCAGAGTTTTAGTACTAACAGAACAGAAATACTTCAGAATGCAAGAGGGAGTATCTAAGGAATCAAGTCATTTTTACTAAATGTTTAGAAGAGCACAAAATGCAGGGTTGGTGATGATTTCCCCAGAAGCAAACTAGTTCTGGTTTTAAAATGTGATGCATGTTTGTGTGTGTGTATTTTATTTATAATTTGACTTTTATGAATTTTATACAGTTAGCTGTATTTCAATCCTATTTGAGCACATTTAGAAGCTATTTGTCAGTTCAATGGAGTTGCATGTCTTGAAGTTTGGAAAATTCATTTAAAAAATAAATCGAACCCTTCCTAATGCACTTGTTTGTTTGTGTGATTGTCTAATAGCAGAGGCGATAATGAGAGAGACTTTCTTAGCTTTAGTCTTAGAGAATGCAAAAATATGGAGCTGCCTGCATGAAACACACCAACAGGATATGCAAAACATTTGGGTAGTTTTAAGTAACAAAATGACATTTTCTTACCTTGATAAGTAATTAAACATATTAGTCAAAAAAATGAAACCTCTGGTATTTTTTCTAAAGAATGATGCATTTTAAAAGTATACATCAAGCATTGTGTCAAAGATTTAGCTGAATCTGTCTACATTTCTCATACATGGATTTTTTTTTCCATGATTATTTTTCTTGTAATCATGGACAGATTAAAAGGGGTAGTCTGATATTCTTAGTGAATTTGTTGTTTATTTAGTACTAATAAAAACGCAAAGTGCAGGCTACAAAAATGCCGAAAAGGATTTAGTTGTTTAAAAAGAGCAGCTCCTACTTTCCACTTATCTGTGAAAAATCTGTGAAAAAGAATCTTAGAATTTCTTTATGGAGTTTAAGATAGCCAGTCCTTTCTCCTCAAAGGAGGATATAAATGAGATCTAGCAGGCACTTTTGGCAAGAAGCTGACTACAGCTTGATAGTAGGAAGTGATAAGGACGAGCTGTATGTGGAATCTCAATGCTTTCCTTGGGGTTAGCTGCATCCCTTGGGGTTAGCTGCATCACTTGCATTCACCCTTGCATTTGTTCACCTGGCATCCAGAACCTGGAACTGTCTCTTGAAGGCAGGCTCTCCCTGCTTCTTTTCTTTTCTTAGCACCTTACTATATAGACTGTCTATGTTAAATACCTAACAAGAGTGCTATAGTGCCAGCTTGCTCTCCACTTCTCTTCCTCCCCTGCAAAAAAAAGACAAAAAAAAGACAAAAAAAAGAAAAAAAAAAAGCAGGTGCTGGAAATGTAGATTCCCTGTGGAAAGACCTTCTGAACAACAGTTTGTAGGGCACAAAGGAGGCAGTTAACACTCTTCACTGTTGACTGCATAGGAAATTAATATTTCTCTCCAGCGTTGATTCAAGTTTCCTTCCAGTCGAATCAGTAGTCACCTAGAATGGATAAGCATGATGTAGACACTGATTGATTTAGCGTGATGTAGACACTGTTGCTTGTGATGGAATAGCCCTGGACTTGTGCAGGGGCACAGCGCTAAGTATTTAGAGAACTTAGAGCCTAATTCTGCTTATCTGGCAGGTGAGCATTAGAGAATGAAAATGAGTCAGTCCCCAAACTGGGAGACTTTTACTGAATTTCTGTTCAAGGTCCAGAAAGACTCTTTCAATTTTGAATTATCACCTATTTCTGTATAGAATGAAATGTTGCATTTGTTCATGTTACAAGTAGAAGCTTCACTGTTGGGAAAACTTTCCATTTTTTTTTTTTTGCTCTTTGTTGTTTTCAAAAGAGTTACAGAGTTTCATTGGAAGGAACTGCAGATAAATGCATGTATTTCATAAGAAGGAAACTGTATAGCGGAAA